CAGGTTCAACTACTTGGTCCCTCTGGGTAGCTGGCTGTGACCAAGCAATGACCACAACCTTGCCCCTTGTCAGCTCTACTATACACCTGGGAATTCTGATCATTCACATAAACTTATAGGACCATTGTCTTCTTGGCTGTAATCTTTACAGGACCAGATTGCCAGGTCTTCCTCCATGGAGCCACTGGGTGAGTTCAAACGGCCAGCCTTTTGATTAGCGGCCAAGCACTTAACCACGGCATCACCAGAGCTCCTTAATATAATATGTAATCACTATCTTATATATATATGTATCTGTGTGTGCTGTTGTTGTTATGTGCCGTCGAGTCGGACCTGACTCATAGTGACCCCTCCTTGGGTTTCCCAGGCAGCATCACTACGGAAGTAGATTGCCCAGCCTTCTTTCCGAGGAGTGGCTGGTGGGTTTGAGCCGCCAGCCTTCTGATTAGCAGTCAAGTGCCTTAGGCACTATGCTACCAGAGCTCCATGTATATATACACACACATACACACCCTTCTGTGTGTTCAGGAGCCTTAGCGGCACAACGGTTTAATTATTCAACTGCTAACCGAAAGGTTGTCAGTTAAACCCACCTGGCAGCTCTGAGAGAGTAGAGACGTGGTGGTCTGCTTTCGTAAAGAGTGCAGCCTTGGAAACCCTATGGGGCGGTTCGGCTCTGTCCTGTAGGGTCTCTGAGGCAGAATGGATTGGACAGCACCCCACAGTGACAGCTACGTGCCTGGTGCTTTCTGAGTTACCTCAGTTACTCTCCTACAAGGTCTATGAGGCGGTGCCCTACTGTCATTCCTGCTTTAAGGTGGAGGAGAGGGAAGCTTCAGGGAAGGCAGGAACTTGCTCACAGTTCCACGGCTTTGCGTGCAGGCCCTCCCGACTCAAGATGCTTAGCATTCTCTAAACATGACATCTGCCTTTTTGTCTTGAATGTACAAGGTACAAAGGGTCATAAAAGCCAGTGCACTCTCTTCCCAGATAACCTCTGTTTCAGATGTTGAAAAAGAAAACTGTAGATCTTCATAAGGTTAAAAGTTCAAGCTCCAGAAAGTCCAAGTGCAACGTCACATGAAAAATGAAAGCCTCCTTCCCTTCTTCCCACATTCTCTGGGTTGTTATTCTCCCAAAAAACCCACATAATGCCTGTTGCTACTCTTAGCATCATTGTGAC